CACTAAATATTGTAGAAACTTAATTTGCTGTAAAGTTGCTTTGCAATGATTTGTATGGTGAAAAGCGCTGTACAAATAAACTTGACTTGACCATTTAGCGCCCAAATTCTGGAATAACCTACCTAACATTGTTCAGGAGGCAGACACACTCTGTCAGTTTAAATCTAGATTAAAGACCCATCTCTTTAACCGGGCTTACACATAACACACTAACACATTTCTAATATTCAAATCCGTTAAAGGATTATTAGGCTGCATTAATTAGGACAATCGGAACCGGGAACACTTCGAAATAACACCCGATGTACTTGCTACATCGTTAGAAGAATGGCATCTACGCTAATATTAGTCTGTTTCTTTCTTTCTTTCTTTCTTTCTTTCTTTCTTTCTTTCTTTCTTTCTTTCTTTCTTTCTTTCTTTCTTTCTTTCTTTCTTTCTTTCTTTCTTTCTTTCTTTCTTTCTTTCTTTCTTTCTTTCTTTCTTTCTTTCTTTCTTCTTAGGTCACCGTAGCCACCAGATCCAGTCAGTATCCAGATCAGATGGTCACTGCAGTCACCCGGATCCAGAATGTATCCAGCCCAGATGGTGGATCAGGACCTGAGATGACCTTGACAGCCATGAATGTCAGCGGAGACCAGGACAACTAGATGAGCCCCAGAGACAGATCCCCAGTAAAGACCTTGTCTCCTAGACGGCCAAGACTACAGGAACCAGTTGAGTCCTCTGCTCAATGTGACTTTGCTGCAGCCTGGATTTGAACTGCTGGTTTCGTCTGGCCAGAGGAGAAATGGCCCCCTGACTGAGCCTGGTTTCTCCCAAGGTTTTTTCTCCATTCTGTCACCGATGGAGTTTTGGTTCGCTGTTGCCTCTGGCTTGCTTAGTTGGGGACACTTCATTTCCAGCGATATCGTCGACTTGATTGCACAGATACTATTTAAACTGAACTGAACTGGATAATGACGTCACTGAATTCAATGATGAACTGCCTTTAACTGAAAATTGAGTGTTTACCATTGTAATTTTGCGTTAATGACACACTATTTTCCTAATTAATGCTGTACAGTTGCTTTGACACAATCTGTATTGTTAAAAGCGCTATATAAATAAAGGTGACTTGACTTGACTTTTATGGCAGTCACTATTTGACCACAAAAAGTTTGTGGACGATTTGAAAAAGCTAAATGGTCATAAAAAAATGTCACACTTGTGTTGTTTGCGGTTAAAAATTTGACCGCCATTAGAAATGAATGGGAAATATGCAAAAATACGAAAATACAGATAACGTTTTGTGTGTACAATATACAAATCATTCACGATGCAGAAAAAAGTGCACAGTAATGAAGGGGTGACACTCTAAAATATCAAGAGTGCAAAACAGACACACTCCGCCCACCCCCCACAGACACACATATATGAACTAGTGTGATTATAATACAAAGCATGTTCTTGCAAATATGTGAAATAAAATCAATAATTCAGCTACAATGCAGTAAAAACACAGACACCAAGGAAGGGGTGACACTCTAAAACATCATGAGTACAAAAAAGATACACACACTCGATACTGGTATCGGTATCGGGCCCGATACTGAGCTCTTGTACTCGTACCCGTACTCATTAAAATGTCCCGATACCAAATGCCGATACCACACAGCATGTGACAAGCGCCATATTCAGACAAAGAAACACAGACAACAGAACAGCAGAATGGAGTTAAGGATGTCTACTACGAAGTATATGTATGCAATGAATATAACGTTAAACATTCAGTATTAAGGCCTGTATAGCTGATGTGCGCCAGCTGATAAACAAAGCACGCAGAGTGGATTGAGCGCGCGGCGGCGCAGATGCGCGAGCTTGTCGAGTGAATATATCTTTCTCACAGACATCACTGGAAAGTTTGTAGTTCGGTCGAATATGTCAAAAACAAGTAAGTAAAACAATGCACAAGTTACTTAACGGTAAGGAGAGAGAGCGAGAGAGAAAGAAAGAGAGAGAGCGCGCTCACTTAGCATACACATCATTTGGATTAAAACTAAATCGTAAAAATAAGACCATTTATAGGGGCATTCACTATAAACATCATTTATTTTCAACCTTAGGCATACACGACTTTCTGGCGAAAGTGAATCTAGCAGCCTGTGTGAAATGCGCCCTGCATTATTACAGCAAAGCGCGTAATTACAGTACTAAGCCGCTGCAATGAAGCAGCTCTAATGATATTAAATTAAGGATGATGTACCACAGAGCAAAAAACCGAACAGTGAAAGTAACAAAAACTTGTAAAATACATTTTAATGGGCATAATTAAGTGTGAAAATAACCGAAGGATATAC